ACACACACACACACACACACACACACACAAAGGGTATTGTGTCGTCCTAATACTCAGATTACGCAGAGGAAACTTGGGTATTGTCTCTACTATAATGCATTGCCCTCAGCCACAATAAAACACTAAAGTCATGTAGGAAAGGTTATTGTTCTGAAAATCCCGCACAGGTAATACTCTTCTTCCTGCTGCAGAGAACGAGGGAGGCACATGATCAGCTACAGGAGCAGTCGGGGTGAGAACTGACTGCTGCTCCTGAAGAGAGCAGAGTGGATTGTGTTGTGCAGCAGCTGATAGGAATCTTAATAACAGCTCACTTGATAACCATGCAGTCTTCAGGGGGAAGTGGGTGAGTTGGGGAACTTTGACACTCGTCTGTTTGGCTGTGCTCAGCTCCTGCGCTCATCAATAGATGTGAAAAAGTCTTTCGCTTTCAAGTTTTTATGGCCTAATTGCTGTCAGAGCTCCACCCCAGATGATGGTGAAACCTGCTCAGCATTCGTCATGGCAGATATTTAAGACATAAAATTACGACGTTGCTGTTATTTTTAGCCAGTGTCTTCTCACAACAATGCAGTTATTGTTGTGGTTATAAAATCTCCAGAGCCTGACTTAAGGCCAGCGTACTTTTCCAGCATGAGCCCCAAATCTCTGGAATGATTAAGCCACTGAGATTAGACATCTACTGCCTTTAAATCCCTTCTTAAAATATACTGTTCCAGCAAAAATTAGAAGGCCATTCTTGACTTTGCATCTCTACATCGATGGCAGCCATTTCATTCCAGTGTCTTTTGAATTGGAAATTGGGAGAAATGTTGTCAGTGGTTTTAATAGAACAAAATTTATTATTTTAGGTAAGTGTTATTATTTTAACACTTACCTATAAATACTAAAATAAGAGAAACTGTTAATCTTGCAGATTTCTTTGTTTTGTTTTTTTCCAGACCCATATACAGTATATATGTAAAAAATGTATTATCTTAACTAATTTTATCATAACTTGCTTATGATGATGTAATATTTACCCAAGCAAAGTGGAGTCCAAATAGATTGTACGTTGAAACCTTTCATAACTCTGCAGTACGTCATGATTTCAGCTAATGACTTTATGACATGTTTTTCAAATGGGTGTGTGTGCGTATGCGCGTGCTGCACTGTATGTTTCTTTGCTGAGTGTTTGTTTGACTGAACCTCATTAGTATCTTGTGTTGTCAAACAGATGGAAAAATTGGATGGGGGGGAATATACACAAAGTACAGAACCATTGAACCCACGTCGGGTTGAAGTGGATCTGAAATCTCATGTTGTGTTTGGACCCTTTTCATTATCTTCTTTGTCATCTTTGTTGTTGTCTTCTTTGGCTTATATATAACAGAGAAAAGTAGAGGATCAGGAACCAACAGATTTGTGATGCTGGCAGCAGGGAACTGTGTAATAATTAACTCATTATCGAAATACATGGAGATTAATTAACTGATCTTATCAATTATTGACGAATCAATTCAGCACTACAACAAGCACAAACGGCCATAAAGATAATGTCTATGACTAAAACACTGCAGCTGACAAAAAGCAGCTACTGATAAGGAATAGTGTTTTCACATTCATGTATTGTGTATTTTTCTTTCTGTGAAGTCACGTATAAAGATTTTCTGTGCAGCTGCAGCACAGTGAATTTTAAGAAAGACATTTTCCCAGCAGCACCAAAAATCGCAGTTTTTTTAAGCCAACCGCTCAAATCAAAGAGTAAGGCTATCTCACCAATTTGCACTGATGTTCGACAATCACACAGAAGAATATACACATATATATTCTCATACTGTCGTACTCTTACTGTCAAGTTTGGTTAAAAAAATCCTGAAATGTTCTGCTTTTAATGTGCAACCTTCTGATGCTTACAACTTTCTGCACATTCAGGGGCTTTCTAAAGAAAGAGAGGTGATATTAGACACTGATGTCTGTGAATCTGTAATAGTTTTTTGTTGTTGTATCAATCACACAAAAATCGAGGTGACAACAGAGGCTGCATTTATTTGGTGTGTGGTGCTATAGAGGACAAACTAGTTAATACCTGGATTATTTGTAACAAAAACTAATGTGTTTTTCCCTGAAAAGTGTTTTACCCATAACCTTGTTGTTTCCATAGAGACAGACCATAATCAATAGCGTAGTGTGCTGAGACATGCCCAGAATCAAATCTTTCCAACCACTCATATCGTCCAATAATCACACGGGGGACTGAAATGATCTGAGGAAGTGCAACAGCAAAAGAGGGTTTAACTCAGGAGTCGTGATTGTTTTTGTTTCCACTGAATTTCACTGTCCTCTCTAAAATTTCACCAATCCTCCATTTCAGTGTCACTGATTCAGCCACTTTACAGTGTTTGTGGTGTGTGTGGAGGTTGATGATGAATTAGTTTCAAGGACATTTGGAGCTGTTTTGCATAAACAGATGTTGTGGAAGCAGACAGGATACAAAAGGTCATCTTTACTAATCTTTCCTTTCCTCTCCTCTCCTCTCCTCTCCTCTCCTCTCTCCTCTCCTCCTCAGGTCTCCAGGGATGCAGGCACTTCCACTCCTCTGCCGTTAACTACAGCACCGTGCTGCTGGAGGCTGACAGTGAGCGTCTCTACGTCGGCGCCCGGGGGGTTGTATTCTGTCTCAATGCCTCTGACATCTCAGCCAGCTCTGCTCTCAGCGTGAGTTTGTTTCCGTGCCACTGAGTGTCGTGCACCTCAGCCCTTCATATCTTTGACTTTGCCGCAGCTTTATTTGCATCCCATGATGCAGGAACTTTTTGAAGCAACAAGTTAAAATTTTATGGCAACAATATTTATTCCCCTTGCACCTCTTGTGTGTGTCTGTGCGAGTAACATTATTTTTAACACAATAGCTCTTACACCACAGGAGTATTTTGCTGCATAAACATGAATATTAATTAGAAAAAAACAAGCTACTGTATTCTTTTTCAACAGATTCAGAGTTCATGTTAATATCATTCAGCTATTGAAAAAGTCAAAACAGAAATAGCTTCTAGTTAATGCATAATATTTTTAAACATTTCTGTGTCTTCTGTGGAATCTTTGGAAAAACTGGAACCTTTTACATCTTTTGCAGCTCCTCTTTATGTGAAATCCAATTATTTATACTATTTATAGCAGAAATGTGTTCACTGATTGCTATTAAATTATATCTGTGCTGTATTTTGTGTCTTCTGTGGTGGGTTCTACCCCTCTGGTCATGCTGGTATGAGGATAGTGGGGAAATACACAAAGTATTCAGAGAAAACAAAGCATTAATGTGCATTTGTCATAGTATAATCGAGAAGAGCAGGACAGACGTTATTTTGAAACCAAGGCAAAAATAAAACATAAGAATTCATGGTCATTAGGTGCAGAAAGTGTGTTTCCTGCCTCCAATGATCAATAAATGCCTAATTTCAAACTGAAGCTCTGGGATAAGATGAAATGTTCTCATCAGTAAAGACAGTTGTTACCAAACCCAGAAGTAGCCATCGGGGCTGAAAAGCCTTTTTGCACCTGTTAGCCGTTGTTTGTTGCCTGGTGACAGTCTGACATTAAGCTGTTATGCTAATTATGTAAATGCAGAGTCTGAGTTTGTCATAACATATGACTGCTGCAGTGTGTGTGTGTGTGTGTGTGTGTGTGTGTGTGTG